CGGGGCCAGCCGGCCGGGTGCCACCGCCACCTGCGGGTGGACAGAAAGCCGAGTGGGTGCTGCCGGGGTCCGGGAAACGTCAGTGGGAACTGGGGGACGAGCCTGTCCAGCTGGGGGGCGGCTGACTAGGGAGGGGGGCCGAGTGAGGACACGGGACCCGCAGAGGCTGCGGGCGGACGGACGGACGGACAGGGCCGGGAGCGATGCAGGCGGAAGGCATAGAGCAGGGGTCCTCAAACTTTTTAAACAGGGGGCCAGTTCACTGTCCCTCAGACCGTTGGAGGGCCGGACTACAGTTTAAAAAAAAAAACTATGAACAAATTCCTATGCACACTGCACATATCTTATTTTGAAGTAAAAAAACAAAACGGGAACAAATACAATATTTGTATTTGCATGTGGCCCGCGGGCCGTAGTTTGAGGACTCCTGGCATAGAGGGATGGCCTCATCACAGACCCTGAGCCGCCGCCCATCACTCCTGTTTCCTTGGACTGTGTCCAGGGGCCCGCGGCCTGAGCAGGGCTACACGGGCCACAGGAGGACGGGCCAGGGGGTCCCTGCGCCCGGCCCCTCCCAGCCCTGCAGCCTCGTCTCGCCGGCCAGGGGTATGGCTGCTCCGCAGGCTGAGAAAACGCCAGGCTGTCACGCACAGGGCTCGGTCACCCTCTGCGCCTGCCCGTGTCCCACCGAGGCCTCCGGACGCGTTTGGTCAGAACCCGCCTCCGTGTGGCCGCCGTGAGGACACCAGCTCGCGAGGCGGCCCTCCTGGTCGGAGCAGCCAGCCCGTCCACTGCTCTATCCCAGCGTCCACCCCTCAGGACCGGCCCCACCCGTCTGTGCAGAAAGCAGGTCTGAACGCTCTGCCAGCTGCTGTGAGATCCGGAAGCCGCGGTCGTGTCCAGCCAGGTCTGCCGGCTTCCGGCTGAGGGATCCGTCCCTCGCCCGCGAGGGTCCCCAGTCAAAGCGGCAAACGCGTGGGCGACGCCCGGTTCCGGCACGTGGAGCGGTGGGTGGGGTCACACACGTGACCCAGGAACTGGGGGAGCCGAGAGGAGGGAGCGGGAGTCAAGGTGAGCGTCCTACCTGCCGTGCCAGAGGCCTCCTGGGTCGGGGCTCCCACGCCGAGGGGACCCCACGAGGCCCGGGGGGCGGGGCCCTGACCTGCAGACGCAGCCCGCGGCCTACGTGTCCCACACGGAGCCCAAGCTTTGCGGGGTGAGGTCTTCCCTCCAAGAATCCGTCTTATTCACGTGAACGTGCGTCCATGCTCTGGAAATGCCTCCTCGAGAGCCTCGTTCCTGATTCCAACACAGACGTGCGTCTTCACACAGCAAACCCGCTTCCCGGCCCTTCTCCCCGCGAGATGCTCCCCGAGGACCTTCCACGTGTCCCTGGGCCCCTGAGTCCCCAGCAGACTGGCCCCTGGTCAGGGCCGGTCAAGGCCACAGACTCCTCAGCGCCAGTGGGTGGCAGCGTTGTCCCGTGGAGCCATCTGGGCGGCTGAAGGGCTGGCCCCGCCCGGAAAAGGCAGAGGCCTCCCCACCTTCCGGTTGTTCTAGGCGGCCCCCCAAACGCGCTTTCCCTGGGTCCCCCCGTCCCGCCGGGGGCAGAGAGGGCTCTGGATGGAGGGTGAGGGTGGGCGTGCGCCCAGGAAACCTCATGTAAGCGAACCTCCATCGTCCTGCCGTACATCCCGGCATGATGGCCACGTTAATAGAAAAACTCAGTAGCAATTTCCCTGGCATCCTTCCTCCTGAGCAGCGGCCATGCGGGTGGGGAGTGTGGGGAGTGTGGGGGGAGCAGACACAGCAGCGCCTGGCGGGGTCCCAGGAGTGGAACTTGCCCCCCAGCCCCTCCAGTGCTGCCCTGCGTCACCCGCCATGGTCCTGGCGTCCCCCTGGCCCAGGTGTGCACACGGCGGTCACACAGGCAACGGAGGGAGGAGTCACACACAGTGGGGTCCCTTTGGAACACCAGCTGGTGGGCCTGCAGGGCCTGTGAGGGGGGGACGTGCAGAGACGGGCAGGAGTGGCTCTGGGCTCGAGGAGCCTCCGGGGGAGGCGGGCAGATGCCCTCTCCTCCCCACCAGCTCCTGCGGGGTCTCC